TTCACATTAATATAGATTTATTCTTCAAAACCGCAAAAAACTCGCATGTAAAAATCGGAGAATTGTGACAAAATTTTGTCTTTCTCCACTGTGAACGAGCTTGACTAGTAAGAGGATGGGTGACCACTTCTGAAGATCAAACTATGCAGTATTATGGAGTTTGTCACTATAAAGTAGAGAATTGTGACGTAATGTCTTTCTCTACTGTGTCAAAACTACGATTAGTAAGAAGATGGGTGACCACTTCCCAAGATCGAATCATAAGTATGGTGCTTTTCACATTTATCTCAACAGTTGTTGAGTGAAAGTTACTAGATACAGTTTAAGTTTAAAAGGATGAATCCTTTCTGATAGAATGGAAAAAAATACTTAATGTAGAGAAGCAGAACATGTGCATTGTACAGTGATATCGTGCTTCGCTCTCGTCGTGTGAAAGTTATCGTTTACAAGAGAGAAAAGGGATCTTTGGAAAAGTTTCTAATGGTTTTGTTGAAATGAAGGTCATCAGATGACACTTCTGGATGCGTCTCGATGAGCTCTATCGAGCAATGTGCAATTTAGCTTTGGACCAAGTCCTGGAATGAATCTGCGGAACTTTTATTCCTGAATACCTGCTGCATATGAATCTGCTGGGTCGTGATTGCCTAGTCCTATGTGATTTCGTTTAGATAAAGTCTCATAGGTTCTGTCAAGTTTTCAGATCAAGGTGGAAGTGAAGAGATGCGAGATGTATCCATGTTATCTTGAAAGCACGTAATCTCAAAACCGAAAACTAACGCATGTGCCAAATTTTCACCAAAACTGAGTGCCGCCGTCAGCCACCACAAACACTGTCTTTTAGCCTTAAATGTTTTGTCCAAAAGACCACTTGGTTCAGAATACTCTTAAAGTGACCATATTATACGAGACGTAAGAAATTAGAAAAAAAGTTTTTTATCCTACTATCTCACTTCTACAACATAAATAATTACATTTTAAGTTCTAGAAAATGAAATTTTAGATGAAATAAGCCTACTCAAGTGGCTAAAATTCAGTCTTGTAGCACAGCAGAAACGATCCCACTACTTTCCATTTTACATTAAAACAAGCTGTCAGAGTATATCAGAAAACTCCAGAACGAGAACAGATGGAGACCTACGGTTTCCTGTATTCGAGAGCAGGAAATCGCATAGTCGGCTAACCCGATAGGGCTAGTAAATTTATAAAACAAAAATGGATTTTGGTCGGAGCTTGAATGCTTTTTGGAAAAGAATTCTGAAAAAACCTGGACTTTCAGGGATTTCGGATTTTGATTTCTTGTTTCTTCGAGTTAAAACTGATAGATCATACATTTCTGCACAATCGAACGGAGTTCAGAAAAGATTGCTGACATTACACTCAAAAAACCAGAATTTTTCGCGAAATTGAGCGTAATGTCAGAAATTTTTTCTGAAATCCGCTCGATTGTGCAGAAATGTGTGATCTATCAGTTTTAACTCGCAAGGTATTCCTGAGCTTCCATCTTGGCAATGAAATTGTTTCCTCGATTACAATTTAACTATGGACACAGCATCACTTATACAACATCCATATAAGAGAACTTTGTTGAACAGGAACTGGAATATTAGTATTTATAATATTTCGGTATTCGAAAGAGGCAACCTGGAGGAATAATTCCATAGGCAGACATTTTTTTGTCTTTTGAATAAGGAAAAACTTGATGTACCCTAGTTTTTCCTTATTCAAAAGACAAAAAAATACTAATATTCCAGTTCCTATTCCACAAAGTTCTCTTATATCGATGTTGTATAAGTGATGCTGTGTCCATAGTTAAATTGTAATCGAGGAAACAATTTCATTGCCAAGATGGAAGCTCAGGAATACCTTGTGCTATTCGGAATCGGTTCCCGATTGTAGCTGTGAGGGTGAGGATGAGGGTATGTGCTGGAAAAGAAGATGAAGTGTTTTGTAATTTAATTGATATGCAACACTCTAAATCGCTCGATGGTTTTGATAACTTGGTCGGTTATCCATCACCACGATTCAATTCTCGTATAATAAAGTTGACGGTTCCTAAGGCGTTATGGAACTCAAACTACAGGTTTCTTTAGTGTTAATGTGGGCAGTTTTTGATCACAGAGGTCCCGTTACATGAATTCTGCGAAAATACATGAAACTTACGACTCGATTTTTTCTTCGAGAATTTAGTAGCAGAGCATCGACAACAAAAATGTTTGACTTATCAGTTAGTATAGGTTATCAGCCGATTAATCGATGAAGCGATTAATCAGCAACCGATAAATCGGCCAACCGACCAATCCTTGTGACGATTAATCGACTGCTGATTAATCATGTCCGAAGATAAACTTACACTATAGTTCTTTAGTGCGCATTTCACGTCTCATATATGTGACAAGTCTGGATTCTCGACGCCGCATAACTAATCTGTTAACCAACCTCGCTTCTACAAATGATGTGATGCTTCCGTAAATGTTACGAAAAAGTCTAATATAAACGAAAAAAGGAGACTAGTGCAGCCGCCGAGAAATGAGGAGTCAAATATTTTTGTCGTCGATGCTCTACTGCTAAATTCTCGGAGAAAAAATCGAGTTGTAAATGCAACAATATTCCAGTATCGAAACATTTGTTATACGGTGGCTTCTAAATTCAGGTTTTTCAACTGCTTCACAGCTACAGTTAGCCGAGAAATATCACACTGCAACAGAACCAAAAATCAGCCGCATAACACGAAAGAAATTTTGACGGTGCACACACTAGAAAACATATCAACATACATTATCGACACTGAGTCCGACTATTACTCGCACAAACCAGCACTGAGTCAGATCCAAGGCATATCGTTCACCGCCCCATCAATAATTTTATTTATTGAAATGAATCACCTGCCAGATAAAACCAACAAAACAGACAAATTTAATGAACTGGTTAAATTGATGAAAACGATATTTAAATCGACCAACACCATCTATGCATGGGGTCGTTTACGTGCCGAACTGGAACCATTTTCACACAGTGGCTTATTTCAACTTTCCGATATTCCAGCGAAAGTATTCAATGTTCAACGTCGTTTTCGAGAGTGGTATAATGACCGACACCCACACACCGAAGAATGTCAACGACAAAAAACGGTCCACAACAACGATGACTACGACGATTGTCTCCGTCCACGTACTCATCGTCCATACAAGGAAGCTAATGACCAGTGGGGTCTTCAGATGGCCATAGCACGAACATTTGGCCAATATTTAGATAAATCAAGCACATTGGCAAATTGGGCAGTTGGACTTGATACGGCCTTGGGTACTTATATGCCGCCACAAAAACGTGAACGATTAAAAACATACGCAGCGTACGACTGTTTGGCCGTAGAAAAATTGATTTATCCGATATTCCATGACTGGACATTAGAACAAGTTCGGAATTATGATCAAACATTTACGGATATGGTTCTTCATGTTCAAAATGAAGAACCAGCCGTACAAGATCAACAACAGCAAACTGATAACCAGGATGAACCATCGCCACAAGTCCTACAGCAAGATCACGATTCAATGAATTTAGATCTAGTTCTTCATGTACAAAATGAAGAACCATTGGAACAAACAGCAGAAGAAGAAGATAATCATCATTATGTACAAGGTCACCAACAACCACACTTACAATCCAAAATCGTTATACCACCAAGATTAAAAATCGTCAATATACCGCATTTACAATCCAAAGTAGTCAAACAACGTACACAATATGAACAGAAGATAAAAAACCGAAAAGGAAGCCACTGGAGTCGCCGAAACCGATATCGATGGGAGGTGATACAACAAGTATTCAATGACAAGACTCAAGGTATTGGTTTTTCAATAACAATGGTCAAACAAATTTTACGTTCAATGGGTATACGGTATACCAACATCAATATGGTTGGACAAACATTGTTTATTGGTACAAAGGAAGCACATCAACAATGGATTCGACAAGCATTAGATCAAGACCAATTTAATGAAGAACATTATCATCAGTTCATAAACAAAAACGACCATCCAGAACCGTAGGACTCGTTCTTATTATTGCACATTTTAAAAAAAACAAAAAACAAAAAAAGAAAACAGTTTTTCGCCTTTGTTTAGCGGTTTTTTGTCGGTTTTAAGCATAAAAATTAACATAATACATTTTTTGCTTACTTTTCATTTCGGCTTGTCTCTACATACGTTCTACTCTTTCGAGTGAACATCTTGCTTCTTTTTTCGATACAGACACTCTTCATTTTTTGTAAGGGGGGGTGTATGTTACAGGCTTATGGCCTTTCATATGTCAGACGCGTGATCATCATTCACATTCATTCTCTTTGTTCTCTATATTTCTTTCTGTTCACACAGACATACATATTGTACATATCATCTCTCTCGTTGTTGCCGGATACTTTTCTTTTTTCAGTAAATGATAACTGTTATTTTACTATCTCTTTCTCTTTACTATCTGCCGGACGTCCAATACTTTCTTTTTCTTTTCCATTGTACTCGCATATATATATACCGGTGTAAAGTTTTAAAAGGGGAATAAAAATCATACCGTTCACACGCACGTTTTTCTCCGTTTTTCGTTTTTAAACTAAAGACAGAGTATTGACGTGTGTGGTTTCGCTTCAAGCAGAGAGTGTCCAGACATACTTTATCTGGCTCTCTGACATAGTCCTAATGCATTAACAATTGGTGCACACGTCGCTAAACTGAAAGTTTTAAGATTATTTAGTGCAGATGTTTAGCAAAACAGACGAGTCCTCAGACCCAAAGTTGACCACGGCCAGATCCACTTTCCTATCATTGTTGAAATCGCCTGATATTACACACTGTGGGTCTCTACCAACCCCATAGTTCATTTGAGTCTGAAAGGTTCCATCTCCTTTGCCAAGCAGCACACTGACGGTATTGTCTCCCCCGTTGGCCGTTGCCAGATCCAGTTTGCTATCATTGTTGAAATCACCGGATATTACAGAAGATGGAAAATTGCCAACCGTATAGTCCAGTTGAGTCTGAAACGTTCCATCTCCTTTGCCAAGCAGCACACTGACGGTATTGTCTCCCCGGTTTGCTGTTGCCAGATCCAGTTTGTTATCATTGTTGAAATCACCGGATATTACAGAAGATGGACTGTTGCCAACCGTATAGTTCGTTTGAGTCTGAAAGGTTCCATCTCCTTTGCCAAGCAGCACACTGACGGTATTGTCGAGCTGGTTGGCTGTTGCCAGATCCAGTTTGTCATCATTGTTGAAATCGCCTGATGTTACAGAAGATGGGTATCTACCAACCGTATAGATCGTTTGGGTCTGAAAGGTTCCGTCACCTTTGCCAAGCAGCACACTGACGGTATTGTCGAGCTGGTTGGCTGTTGCCAGCTCCAGTTTGTTATCATTGTTGAAATCGCCTGATATTACAGAAGATGGGTATCTACCAACCGCATAGTTCATTTGAGGCACAAAGGCTCCGTTTCCCTTGCCGAGCAGCACACTGACGGTATTGTCAATCAAGTTGGCTGTTGCCAGATCCAGTTTGCTATCATTGTCGAAATCACCGGATATTACAGAAAATGGATAGCTATCAACCGCATAGTTCATTTGAATCTGAAAGGTTCCATCTCCTTTGCCAAGCAGCACACTGACGGTATTGTCATTCGAGTTGGCCGTTGCCAGATCCAGTTTGTCATCACTGTTGAAATCACCGGATATTACACAATGTGGGGAGTTACCAACCGTATAGTTCATTTGAGTCTGAAAGGTTCCATCTCCTTTGCCAAGCAGCACACTGATGGTATTGTCAATCGAGTCGGCCGTTGCCAGATCCAGTTTGTCATCACTGTTGAAATCACCGGATATTACAGAAGATGGAGAAATGCCAACCGTATAGTCCAGTTGAGTCTGAAACGTTCCATCTCCTTTGCCAAGCAGCACACTGACGGTATTGTCATTCGAGTTGGCCGTTGCCAGATCCAGTTTGTCATCATTGTTGAAATCACCGGATATTACAGAAGATGGACTGTTGCCAACCGTATAGTTCATTTGAGTCTGAAAGGTTCCGTCACCTTTTCCAAGCCGCACACTGATGGTATTGTCTCCCCGGTTTGCTGTTGCCAGATCCAGTTTGTCATCATTGTTGAAATCACCGGATGTTACAGAAGATGGAAAATTGCCAACCGTATAGTTCATTTGAGTCTGAAAGGTTCCATCCCCTTTGCCAAACAGCATAGCAAGCTCGTTGTCTTGTTGACTGGTCACTGCCATATCTAGTTGTAGGTCACTCCTGAAGTAGCCGGTCGCCGCAGAAAGTGGTTGGCGGCCGGTTTTATAAGCGCGTGAGACTGAATAAGGAATCACGCACACATATCCTAAAACAAGAAAATGTTGAAATAGACATTGCTGTGCAAGAATTAGCGGATAATAATAGACTTGTATATCTATATATCAACATCACCCACTACGGTTTTTTAGCTTATTCGTCTAATATAAGCTCTCACGAAGCCTTCTGACCCATTTATTAGCCAGCAGTTTACGCTGTAAATGTAAAGTAACCTTTTGATGAATGGCTCCCGTAGTGAAGCTTTTTTTCTCAAGCACATGATTTTTTTGAATTTCTTGAGTAAGAATCTAATGGCGTGGAGACATTTCTTACTCATGCAAAACGCTTTTTTTCCGATGTCATGCGCTTGACTTTCTTGACTTAACGCGTTATGCATAAGTTTTGCAACAAATGTCTTGCGCTGTTTCTCTATGCTTCTATTGTTCTAGAGACTTTGCTTTCCTTTTGTTTGAAAGAACAAAGTCTAAACTACAAAAGGTGCATCAAATAAAATTTTCTCTCACCAAATTTCATTGAGAAACAATTCAAAAACTATACATCACTAAAATAGTCTGGTTAAATTTTACTAAAGCATATCAAGAAAAGTTTTTCACTGATGTAAAAAATAATAAATTTTTGTTGAAACCAAATACACGAAAAAATAGCCCGTGAAAAATTCTATGAATGTGATCTCCTTAAGAATTTTCAAGTTACTTTTTTGTGGTTTCTGAAACGCTTTCTGAATGAAAAGTCAGATTTTCTGAGAATAGAGAATTGCGTGTAGCAATTGGGGACTTCAGCAAAAGCGCCAAATAAAATACGAAGTGAATGAGACTAGTTTTTGTTTAACATCGGATTGTAGAAAATTCAATGAAGATCGTGTTACAGTTCAAAAACTGGAAAAAAGTTCATCTGTTAATTCAAGAATTGGTAATTAACGCTAATAAACTGATTTTCTAACGATCCTCGAATAAACGATTATTTCTTCACAGAGACTGAATAAAGGAATTTTGATTTCGTTCTTTCAATGTGAATATATATCATCAGATCGCCAAGGGTGTTGGTGAAGCTAGTTTATCGGAATGTATTGAATTAGACCATGTGTAAGCTGTTTCTGGCTACCAAATCACTTGTTTTTCTGAAGAAAACTTTCATGAGCTTTCAAATCTGTATAGTTAAGTGAAATTAAGAAATGGTCATCACTGCACTTAGAATCCGTAGTCCAATCTCTACCACATTTGTTACTGGTTCACAGAAACAAATAAAAAACTTATCAAAATGTTGCCACGTAAAACCTCTATGTCTCACAAAAAATCGAAAGTGCGTAGATGATTACATCATTGTCACTTATAAATGCCTGAGTTTCAAGGCAAGATGAATATTGAAATAAAATAATTAGCGTTTTTCTATATCAAAAACAGCTTACACACCTTATTTGTTTCAGTATTTCGTTTCTCCAGCAATTCCGATAAGTCATTTTCTGAACGTTTTTTTTATGGCTGGCGACTTGATGAATAGAAATAGACTGGACGTGTCTGTATATTCAGCAGACATATGGACGTCATATACATCCAAGAGAATAATGCACGTTGTCTACACAGCCGTTTTTTCCTTTTTTAACGTACTGTGAAGATGACGACCATTTGTACTCGCATATTTTGCATGTTTTAACCTGCGTTTTGTTCATAAAAATGGATAAAAAGTTAAATAATTTGAACCTTTAACTTCGAAGTAAGTACACAGCAATTTGAGACGACGGAGGAGTTAAATCGTCCTACGTTTTCTCTGTCACAAAACTGAACTATCTTTCTCATTAACAGTTATGAAAGGTCTTTCGTCTCAGATAATGTACCGAATCTAAGGTCCTTTCTCCGTTGTGTAGGCTCAGTTAAAAATATTGACTGTGCAAGA